TTTTAAGGAAACGATTTGCAGACATTGTGCTTTGAAACTGGTTTCTTTTTTTCCTACTTCCCGTATGCAAATGCCTTTTGGGCTTGGCTGAGCAAATAGATGGGCCTATTTGCATGATAGAAGGTTAAAGGGTTAATTAAACATGGATAAAATATAAAAATTATAATATCGCGTTGATATATTAAATATAAAATATATATTTTTTATTTTTATAAAATATATATATATTTTTTATTAATTTTAAATTATATTATTTTTATATCATGTTATAATATTATATTTAAATAGTTATTGCATATGAATATAAATTATAAACTAATATTTTATGGCCGTCAAACTCAAAAACCATAATTATGGGTGTGATTTCTCTTTCTAGTGTTGGGATCAACTTTAAACCATCAGACTAATATTGGATTCACCAAATTGTGAACTGTGCCTGTCAACCATATGTTCCTTTTATTATCATCCAATAAATTTTACCGCATAAATGCGGATAATTCACAACATCTTTAATTTCCATGCGTTCATATTTGAGTTAGAAATTCATGAATTTTTATATGTTCAACAAACAAAACCATGCTGAAAGAAACACGATATTGAATGGTGAAGGTCATCCTAAAGGATAATCCACCTTTAAGATCCAGCATATGCTGCTGCACATGTTATAGGATTGCAGAAAAAATGAAAAATTTTACAATTTATAGCCAAATTCCTATTCTTGTGGTTCCACTAAGATATAAGTAAAACTATTAACGCTGATTGGAATCCACTGTCGCTATAATTCCTCCAAAACTTTAGTTTCGCGTGCTACTGAAACTTCCTGCAAAATAAACAAAGAGTATTGTCATAACAAGCATGAAATGACATCCGTTCCGTAGAGTGGCCATAAAACCCTGGTTTTTCAGCTTATCGTACCCAACCAAATGAATGAAGAAGAAAACGTAGACCAGTAAACAAGAATGCAAGTTGAAAACATACTTTTGGTTTGTAACGTGAGCATCATTTTGACCAAAAAAAAATCTAGGGATTTTGTTCATATTGGCCTCAAAAGTTAAGTTGAAGCTTCAAGGACCAAAGATGAGATTCTCTATCATAAAACATGATTAAACAAGTGGGCCTTTGGACAGCACATAACCCTTAGCTCTGGTAAGGTATATGAATCATTATTTGGTAAGTAGTTAAATCAGAAAGTTGAATCCTATAAATACCTGTAAACAAAACTTGCCTTCAACTTCCCCCCACTTGAGAAGCTGCATCTTCATGCAATAGCGTATCCCTAATCATTCAGCCACCCCACCTCACAGCAGGTTTCACCTTCTTCTCTTTCTTTTAGAGAACACCATAATAATGTGAGTAGCAATATGAGATTGCTTTAATCTCTTGTTGACTTCAGCGCCCCGTTATCTTTGAGCTCTTGCAGAAAGTTTTGGAATTTTTGAAAACCAAGTTCACGATTAACAGTGATCAGGCTATAGAACAACATTCTTTTCGTCAAAATCATGCCTAATTGCCTACTAATGACCCAGAGGGATACACAACTAATTTAAGTTGGTGACATATTTTACCCTTGGCTCGATGCATAAAACAAGAAACTAGAGCAACATCTAAAATATTCTTCAAACTTTCAATTCAATATGAAATACAATAATGCATGGAAAGGGAAAAAAATTTTCAGAAACTCAACTATCAGTCCATATGTAGTGAATCTTAATTGGATCAGCTTTTCTTATAAAATCACCTATTTTGATTCACACATCATCACTTAGTTCAAGTTGAAACTTAATGGTACATTAAGTCGTGTTTTATCTTTGAAGATTAGAGAGGGAGAACGCCAAGCAAACGAGCCAGAAGAATTAAGCTATCAATAAAAAATAAGAATATTAAAAGCAGAATTTCAAGCTACGAAAAAAAAAAAAATGCTTAGCAAGTGAAAGTAAACTTTACACTCAAGTCCCCATAACTATCAAAACTGGCAATAGCAATAGGTCCCTACCATATGTCACGGACTTAAGGAAAAGTTTTTAATTCCACATCAAATATAATAAGAGGGTCATTGAGATATAAAAGAGTTCACACTACTTCCGTTTTGTGAGATGCCTTTTATATGACAAAATCATGAGGTCAGAAGGGCCAGAGTAGAAAATACCTTACAAGAGTGTGAACCGTGGTAGGAAGGCTGATCTGAAGAAGCCGGAAGGGTGAATGCCCGGATCCCGGAGTTGCGCGGGTTCAGAGCTTAAGTCTCGACCCGTGACAAGTGGTATCAGAGCTAACCCTAAATCGTTCGATCCACACGTATCAGAGCCAACCCTAAACCGTTCGATCCACGCCAAGCATCTCGATAGATGTAGGCAGGGTGACCAGCCTCAGTGATGAAGGTGTCATGAGGTTGGGTGGAGAAGAATGTCACGGACCTAAGGAAGAGTCCTGAATCCCACATCGAACATAATAGAAGGGTCACTAAGGTATAAAAGGGTTCATACCACCTTCGTCTTGTGAGGTACCTTTTGTAGGACAAAACCGTGAGACTAGAGGGACCAAAGCGGATAATAAAAGAAATAATGAAACTAAAAGAAATAATGAAACTAAAATAAAATACTTGCCTAAAATATATGATCCTTTCTTGCAGGGACCCTACTGCGGAAGAATCAAAAAATTGTTTTCACCTTTAAGTGAAAAAACAAATACGGATCCGTTTTGGATAAATAAGATTCATGTTATACTTCTTGCTACTGATTATTACGAATTTGAACAGATAATAAATACACTCAAATCATTATCAACAAAAAAGAACTTTCTTTATTGACAGAAACAGAAGATGAGCAGACAATAGATACACTCAAAACCGTGAGATCAGAGGGAACAAAGCAAACAATACCTCACAAGGGTGTGAACCGTGACAAGAAAGCTGATCTGAGACGTCAGAAAGATAAATGTCCGAGTCCTGAAGTCGCGCAGGTTCAGAGTTTAAGTCTCGACCCGTGACATGTCATACACCAGCAACATAAGAAGCTTTTGTGGCAGCTGTTGATGCAAAAGCAAAATCATAGATAGCACATCCACCAAGCTGGTCACCATTCTGAAATGAACTGTACTACTGTTCACAAAAGACTCTAATATTTTGTAACACAAACTTTGCACCATCCACGCGAGCAACCTGAAATATCCTCACACGAGACTCCCTTTCCCAAGGACTGATCAAACAATACTCCAACTCCCATAGTTTATGTGTACCATTATCTGCAACAGGCCAGACAGCAGTGTAACATCCACTAGATTGATATGCAAAGGCAGAAACTTTATTATCTACACCCCCAATGTTCCTCTCATCTATGCTTATAACGTGTTGCAGCATCTGCTTCACATCCAACAGTTGGAAGTAGTTTTATATTTGTGTAACTCATAGCATTCTCCCCTGGTTCAGCAATGGTGGGGCACTGGGTCTGCCAATCATAAAGCTTAACCTCCCATTCCCCGTAAGCTTCAGGTACAACAGACTCAGGAAGTTCAATTGGACTCCCTTCAATTGAGAAGTCTGCTCCAAACCCATCCCATTTGCGTGACACATTTCTAAGAAATTCTGACCAGGCTTGACAAATAAAAGAACAACATCATGAATTTTGGTTACAATTACAATTTACAACAACAACACTAACATTACGTTCATTGTATCTTCCAACTAATACCTAAAATAAGTGATTTAAATGATCAACTCGTTCAAGAGCAAAAGGGCGCAAAAAGCAAAGTTTCTAAAATGGGTTGTGCGGGATCAAAAGCAAGAAAGAGGAACAAGTAAACGACAACTTAGTATTATCGGCGGCTTAACCATCATCTCTTTTTAATTTTCCTAACCATTGTATTATTGTGATTTGATATTTTCATTTAGAATGATAATAATGAGGTTTAGAAATTTTACATATTATATGATGAAATGATGTAAAATATAAAAATAATATAAAAATAATATGATTTAAAATTTTAACAAAAATTATATATAAATTTAACAAAAATAAAAAAATATATTTCGTATTTAATGTATTCAGATAAATTATGGCATGATAAATTTTTTTACATACATTTGATACAAATAGACATAAAATAGATAAACGAATGTTTATGTTTAATTACTAATTTGCAAACTAAAATTTTAATACTAATATAATTTTTTTTTAAGAAAATAAACACCATCAAATTATATGATTTTTACATATTTCTTATTTAGTTGCACTATTATTAATAATTTTTCTCATTTTTTTGCATATATTATTGTGAAAAAAAATGGATAGAGTCGTAAAGATGTTGATTTTGAGCTACATGAATTCCAAATTCATAATTTGTTTTATGTATATATTACTCAAATTTCTCTGCACACCAAAGGCATTTCTTGTGCAATTTCCGCAGACAAACCATATTGCTGATTTCTCAGACAAATCAGAGACATTCTTAAAAGAAAAAGCTTTTCTTTTCAAAATATGCTTTCCTATTTACTTGAATTCTACTATTGGAAACAAGGAAGCAGAGGGAAAACGAGAGGGAATGACTGTGAGTCGTAATTAAACAAAGATGATGACCTTGCAACCAACATCCCCAGCCAGTACTGACGGTCCCTACGCTCACAACCCACCTCTAATCTTTCGGCCGCCGTCTCCCCACACCGCAGGCCCCAATCATTTCCAACCTCTTTCTTATCTGGATCCAACTTGTCGATGGCTGCCTCCTATTTTGTATTGCCCTTTCATAATTTGCTTTTCATCCAATTTATACTTTTTTTTTCTATTTTTTCATTAAAAATAACTTGATAGTACTAAAAAGTTTTTTATATAATGCAACATTGACGTTGCTTTGTATTATTGTATAATTGTATGGTATGTATATGCATAATGGAAAATGAACAGTCAATGGATCTAACTTGGTTAATCATTAATGATTAATCAACACCTAGGTTGAATTTTTAAAAAATGGAGAGGTATAAATAAAATTTGCTCTAAATGTTGAATAAGATCACGCACCCTACTACCATCATCCATTTTCCCCTACAAAAAGAGAATAAAACAGCCTGTGATAGAGCTGTGAACACTCCATTTCACCTCTTTCTTTCTCCCTTCTCCCTCTTTTTCTTCTCTTTCTTTTCACTTCTTCTCTTAGCAAGAATAAAACAGCCTGTAATACAATTAATTGTCACTCTCTTTGGCGTTTCTTGATCTTGTTAGAGATCAGCAGGCATGAGCTCCATTATCCACTGCTTTCAGAAGAGCCAAGCACTCCCTGTTTCCCAAACCGAATCAAAAGAGCAACTGCCAGGGCTACGAAGAAGGCTTTCCTCTCTGTCTATCAAAATACGGCCTATATCTTCACCAGCAGCGTCATGGGCATTTCACCGATCAAAGTCTTTGTCTTCCATGGGAGAGTATGCTGGTAGCTCCATCAGGAAATGGTGGGTCTGGGGCTGGTCTTGGGTTCTCTCGAGAAAATCCATGTTTGCTAAAGACCTTGAAATAAACGACGAACAAACTAGGATTCTTGGCTGCCACAACAAAGGCAGCTGGACACATGTTTTTTACAAGGTTAGATCTGAGATAAAAAAACTGTTGGGATCTGACAAAGTAGGCCTTCCACAAACTTACAGCTATAATTCTTTAGATTACCCCAAGAATTTTGATGATGGAAAGAAAATTTACAGGTGATTTGGAAATTGGAATTCTTGATCTTCATTTTTGAGGTGTTCAAAGAAAGCTAATCAAGATTCAGATCATAGATACTGTAGAATTCTTTTTTTTTTTTGTATGGCTCTTGATTTTTATTTCTTGAATTTCAGCTTTCCTTTGTTTTTATAATGCAAATGTTCATTTGTGAAAAGAAACAATGGCATGTAATTATATATATTGTTCTGTTACATAATGTGATTTTGCTTGGAGGGAAGAGTTAAAACTTCAACTACTTGTTGGTTGAGTTGAATCCACCTTACTCTACAAATTGCACTCTTCTCCAAACTCTCCAACCATACCTACAAATCTACATTGTTCATAAACTCAACTGGCTAGCTTTATGGCTATGGGGTGCCATTAATGAACAAAAAGAAGTTGTAGCACCAGGGTGGATTCACTCTATTAGACAACATCTGTTAGCTAAAAATACAGTTGTTATCATAATTTTTTTATTTCATTATTTATTTCTGCTGCAGGTTCAATTGTAGATTTAAGTGTTGTTTTAGTTATGTAATGTAATTAATATCGATTTTTTTTTTTGCAAGAGATATTTTTCAATTATTCTAATTAATTTTTTTATAAAAGAAAATACAAAATGCAATTAATTAAAAAGAAAGATCTCCTCGTCTTACTATAATTACAACACCATTATTATAAATAAATAAATGAAAAATCATTTCCATAAATCACATTATTACATAAATGATAGATCTAGTGGTTTGCATGATATTGGATTTTTCCAGCATTTTTGTGGCATTTCTATGTAATTAAAGTTACAATAAAAATTAACATTATCTTAATTGATTTATATAAACATTTTTAAAAATGATATGTAACAAATCTATAATTCAAATTTTAATATCTACAACTCTTTTGATATTTAACTACCAAAATATTGAGTCGCATTCTCCTATCTCCACAAAACGTTGGTGATATGGAATAAAGTGTAATTTCAATTAATCATTGTTGGTAGTTTAGAATGTGGAGCATCCTTCATTGGATAGAAAGATTTAATTATTAATGAATAAAATTAATTTTTGTATTAATTTTATTCATATTTTAAATAATTATGTTTGAACACAAACAATTATTATATGACAAACAGTCATAATTATTTGAATATAAATAAATTATTATTCTTAAAAGTTATGATTATACAAAATGTCATAACTATCTAAATAGAAGTTTATGTTTGTTTATTTACTTATTATGAATACTCTTTTAATATAACAATTTTCACTGCTTCTGATTATAGAGTTTGAAGTTTTGTTATATCCTAAAGGTATAATTGCTTTTAATAAAGTATTCTTCACACTTTAAAACCAAAATTCTTTTATATTATTTCTCTTCTCTTATTTATTTTTTCTAGCAATTTAAAGGTAATTATGATAAATTTATATTTCGCATGAGGAAGTTACAAGAAAAAGAAATTGGCATGATTTGGAGATCAATATTAGATAAGGTTCAAGGTGTCAAAGGATTAATGTTTTTATGGACCAAAATGTTAATTTTCATAAAGATCTTTATTAGAGGAATGTATTTTAGTTTTTGCATAATTGCTAATAAAAAGATTAACTGAATGAGATTACATGTTAACAATTTATTTCATTAGTATGTAAAGTCAAAACATAATATATAAAATATTGATTACATTGCATAAGTTTATGCATATACTAAAATTGACTCCACAATTGGATTTAATGAACTGTATTATATTTATTTGAAAAATCAATGTTTATAAAGACTAAGATGGGAAATAGCCTGAAAACATAAAATAGAAAGACATGAATTGATTTATGACCAAAAGAATTATCACTTGTTATTAAGTAACGAATTAAATTAGGTTCTAATGGAATGATCAATTATTTAATTATCATGTCTTGGTTATATATAAAACAGGCAAATTATCCCATAATTTCTACAAAAACAATCAGAAATGGGTAAAGAAATTTACCATGATAAATTAAATATAAGTAGAGAATATATGCAGAAAAATAAAATTTGGCCACAAGATTAGTTTTATTATTAAATCATGGCACCAAAATTGAGATAATAAGTTGAGTTAAGTTATTTGTATGATTCTATCTTCGTTGGTCGTTTATAAATCAAATATTAATATATATTTTTTAAATTTATTATTGGTTCAAATTTTGATTGGTGTTTAATTTCCATGAAAACTAATTAAAATTAAATTGATATATGTGAATAATTATTATTAAGATATGGTGTTTCATAGATTAATTGGTGGATAATAAACCAAATAATTATTATTATCAGAAATATGGGTAGTGTGACATGTATTACACTAGAAGTGATTTTACAAAATAAAATTTTATTGTGAACACTCACAAAGTGGAAATCATAAAAAGTTGTCAAAGAGTTAATCAATGGTTAAAAAAAAGTACTGTTGCTTTTCACATATCGGATACTAATTAAACAAAGAGGCATGCCATTAAAAAACTATTGAAATATTTGTCAATTACTAGCATTTTGAAAGATACTTATAAATGTCTAATTAGGTATGTTTACAAATTAGAAAAGAACATGCAAATTAAATGTTCCAAAGGCACCAATACGTGCATGTGTTTAATTCGATTTTGTGATGGCATGAAGAACATTGGTACAGTTTGCCATATATTATAAAAATGAACTGAATAGGATGAAATTTTCTTTCTTATACATATAAGAAAGATATAGACTATTGAGATAGAAGTCATCATCCAATTAATACATTATTGGTTAAAGACAATTAAGGTATTTTTACTTCTTGTACCCGAAAAAAATGGCTTTTTATAGGCTATTAAAATGAAAAGTGAATAAGTTTCCAAAGTTTTCAATAGCTTCATGACAATGGCAAGGATGTGGCTGGTTATATACCATATTAACATATGGCTTAGATAATAATATTGGTTTGTGAAAGTCGTAAGCCTTAGAGTTAGCCAATCAATAATTTAACCAATGCAAATTTATCATGAATTTTTGTATGAAATATGAGTAGAACTCATATTATAATTATTGTTTATACTATTTTATGAAAATGATTCTTTGGAGTCATGTTTCATGACTTGCATTGATATGGTGATCTAGATATAAACATATTGATCACAAAATGATTGTGAAAGTATTTGAAATTGGAGTTAAATATACTATAAAATTTTATTGTATATAGACATATTAGTCTTATGAGTAAAGTTTGAATTTATTATATATTCAAGAATGTTTTGACCAATTAAAAGTGGTAAATAACATAGATATATAGGCTATACAATGGTGAAAAAATAAAGTTCTCATAAAAATTTGAAATCAAGTTTAGAGGTTTCAATAATCATGAACTTGGAATTGGCCATTGAACAATTACTATATGTATTAAAAACTCATGATAACATTTGAGATAGTTGATTTTCGCTAAAAGCCATCATTATAAATGAGATAATTTTAATAGCCAAATCTTCATAATTTGTAGGTATGAAATGGATTATTATAGTTGGTTTAGAATAGCCAGAAGCCAAAATTGACGCCGCAATCTTGATCACTTTGTGATACTTTTTATTATGTATATGGTCTACTTCACGGATTGTACAAATGATTTATCTTTTATAGTTTTATATAGTAAAAATTTTAAAGTATGTTTACTTTGAAAACCATGAATGATTTAAAGATCTTGTGAATTTGAAACTTTTATAATAGCAAAAAGAATACTATTTGATCCATTTGGGTGATGAAAATGATTTTGTTCATGGTAATAAAAAAATTATTAATAATGTCCGTGATGAAATATATTCATAAAAATATTTATGAATTGACATAAAAGTCTTAAAATGAGACTATAAAAGCATGATTATATTTGAAATCTGCTTATTGATGTAAACTCTTATATTGAGTTAAAATATAAAAGTTTTAAAATTTTTTATTGAAATATTAAGATATCAGCTAATTATTTTTCATTAAGGGTGGATTTAGAGGCTTCTTACTTTAAAAAAAAATCACCAAATAGTGAAAAGATAAATGAAATGGTAACTTGATTAAGGATAAATGATATCTTAATAATTGAGTGAGATATTTTTTAATAAAATAATGCATACTTGCATATGGTGGGGGTGATATTAATCAAAAGAAATAAAAAATTATCACCATGGTGTTGTGAGATTTTAGTATAATTTTATGAGCAAATTATACAAACTAATGAGTTTAAACACTTATTAAAGTCATAAAAAGGTCCTTAAAAATCTTAAAAGGATTAAAATCATTCGGTTTATTCATTAAATTTATCCAATTGTAGTAGAAGTATAATTGTATTAAAAATGTATAAAAATATGGAAATAGAATGGTTGCAATTAATAAATATAGAGTTGTGGCCACAACCAAAACCAAATGTTTATTAAAATAATAAGAATGAGACAATAATTTTGGAGTATATAAATAATATGCAGAATGAAAAGTTTAGACATATTAGCCTGAAATGATTATATTAGAGATTAAATCTCAAGTAGGGGTTTAGACACCAATAATGGAAACCCGACTTTGAATTAGTAACCTCTAATTATAAAGTTTAATGGATAAAAATAAATTATTGTTATGTGTCTATTAAACACTAGTAAAATCCATTCCAATTTTAGATTGTATGGAGAAGATAAGTTTTTATACTCTTAATAGAGCTTTAAATGTCTAAAGTAATGGAGACATAATGGAAACTCTACCTATATAAACATAGAAGTGGTACCGTTTCAACAAAAAGAATTGAGATCTCTCTTGTAAATGTTTATGAATAGGATAAGCATATGGTTATAATAGTACTAAAAGAGGTTATAAACCTTTGATAGAAAAATAAATAAGTATTATGTGTGCTATATATTCAATTCTAACACTAAAAGTTAAGGTATAATCTGCAGACACCATCAATTTCGTTAAAACTCTAAGATATATACGTTAATTGAAAGTTTAAATTGAGGGATATCTTCTTATATTTATAATATTTATTTATGTGAAAGGTAAAAATTAAGTACCAACATTCCAAACTAGTGGGGGATTGTTGGTAATTTAGAATATGATACATCCTACATTGGATAAAAAAATTTAATTATTGATGAATAAAATTAATTTCTGTATTAATTTTATTCATATTTTAAATAATTATGTTTGAACAGAAATAATTATCATATGACAAATGATTATAACTATTTGAATATAAATAAATTATTATTCATAAAAGTCATGATTATACAGAAGGTTATAACCATCTGAATAGAAGTTTATGTTTATTCATTCACTATAAATAAATCTTTCAGTATAACTATTTTCGCTGCTTTTGATTAGAGAGTTTGAGCTATTGTTATATCCTAAAAGCATAATTACCTTTAAAAAAGTGTTCTTTAGGTCTCAAAGCCAAAATTCTTTTCTATTATTTCTCTTCTCTTATTTATTTTTTTCTAACAATCATTGCCAGCAAAGATAACATGAATACA